TGTTTTGATGAAAAAATTTTCAAAGTATGTTTTAAAACAACAATTGATGAGACGAAGTTTGTCTAATATTTTTTTTGAATAATTTTTCGATATGATATTATGAGTGTTTTTATCGAATATAACAAGAATATAGACATCTTCGAATATTTGTTTCACAAGTTCTGTTGGAAACATGTTTAATTTAGTTATTAACCATTTACATATGTATTTAAGTAGAAATTAATTTATATTAATTATTTTATACCTAAAAAGTAAATTCCAAATAAAGAAATTTCTTAAAAATATTTATTAATTTTTTTTATCTTAGAAAAAAATCTTATATCATTGAAAAAGAAAATTCTTATATATAGAAAACATCTATAAAAAGGCTTAAAAAATACCAGAGTTCAACATCGAATTAGTTTTGATTTGATAACGAATACAGTTAGCTTTGCTACAGTTATTCATAAGAAACAAAAAAAATTGTTTCTTAAAATGTCTATAGATAGAGACATTACAACACATTTTGTTCGGTTTGCACCGATCAATTATAAAAAAGTTCATGAATCATTTATTGTTAAAAATAGTATTCCATGATGGAATATTGATTTCGATCGCTCCTATGTGATTCAATATTCGAAACGAACATCTAAAGAAAATTTTGATATGTTACAACATAGTCGATATATTAAATTTTATGATTTTTTTAGGTGTGAATGTCCTGAAGAACGTCAATTTCAACCACATCTTTGGCAATATGATACTCGTCATAAAGATAATTGTTATCCGTTTTATCAATGAAGTAATTATTTTAAATTACTTCAAAGTGTTGATAATTTGTTACCAGTAAAAGAAAAATTAGATCGTGTTTCTGCAAAAGGTAGATTAATGAGATTTAAAAAATATTATTATACGTATAAACTTGATTATGAAATTTATTTTTGGGTTAAGAGTTTCAAAGAAACGGGTTCGGCAATTTATAAAGATGAAGTTAAATTATTGCGAGAATTTAAAAAATATGTGTTTCGTAAAGAAAAGAAACAGTTAATCGATAAAGAAATCATTACAGATATAAATAATCGATTAGTAAAAATCAAAGAACATATAAAATCACCAGAGTATCAACCAGTATCTCCTAATTATCAATCTGTTTTACCATCTGTTTAGTCTTGACCGATCAGATTTTTTTTAGCATAAAAAAAAAATGAATCTTTTCAATAAACAACAATTATATAATTTATATTTTCAATTTTCACAAAATGTTAAAAGAAAAAATCAAATATTTGATTTTGAAAGTATATCTACATATTTTGATAAAATCTCCAAATGAACAAATATAATTTTTTCATGAGTGCAAATAACCTCAATTCTGTCAATACAAAACATCGATATATCAGAGGATTAAACAGAGGAAGATGTTAGAATTGTCAAGAAATTTTTACTCATGAATGTTGTGTAGCATGTAAAAAAATCGATTGTGATTGTGTATTTATATGTGGATATATGTATCCAACACAAAAAAATAAGTATAGTAAATGTACACAGTTTGCAAAATGTAAATATTTCACTAATGATCAGAACAAAATAGTTTACGATTATAAAAGAAAGATTCGTGAAGATGAAAATATTTTTCTGTATATAGATGAACAACAAACACGACCATTTAATTATAATTTTTTTTATCAATATCATTATTGAATATAATATATATTAATTAATAAATTATAACTTAACCAGTTTTGTACCGGTTAAGAATTTATTTGTGTAAAAAAAAATGTGTCATCAATATTGTATAGATTTTTTCCAGTTACAGAATGATTATTTTTATTCTGATGAACTTGATTTTGCTAAAGCACAAAAATTTAAGAAAAAATATCATAATAAATTATTTTCAGAATATAGTTTTTTTGAATTGAAAACAATTAACACAGAAGAAAAATATCAAAAATTAATATCTATTGCAGCTTCTTTAAAAATGTCATATCATCCAATAGAGAGTAATTTACCAATTATTATGGAGAAAAGTGAAGAAGAAAAAAAATAAATTTTATTATTAATAAATCTAACCAGTTATTAAAACCGATTAGAATTTTAAGTACGTAATTATGGAAAAGATTAATATAGCGATTTCTGGTTCTTGTGCATCAGGAAAATCAAGTGTTGGTTATTTGTTAGCAACAAAATTAAATTATCAATTTATAGAAACCGATTTATTTTATCAATATCTAGCGTCAAAAACATCAAGTTTTGATGAAGAAGAATTGATAAATATTTTAAATAATGAAGAACCTAAACATTTATTTCAGATTGACAATACAACACTTTATGAGAAAGATAATGATATAAAAAAACGAGCATTTGAGCTATCAAAAAATGTTAATATTCGTAAAAAGATTAGTGAAATTATTCAAAAAAATATGAAAAAGAAAGGTTTTGTGGTGGTAGGTTGTGATTCAACAACTGATATTCTTCCTGATGCTGAAATTAAACTTTATTTAATAGCTAATTTTGAAACACGTGTTGATCATCGACAAAAACAATTTAATTCAGAAAATTTGATATGGTTAGATATAATAACACGTAATTCTTCTTTGATTAAAAAAGCGCAAAAAATATCTGATAATATTGATATAACATATCTTGAGATATTAGAAGTTGTTGATTTGATATTGAAAAATGTTTTTTACAAGTTATTTAGGATTCGATATGAAAAATATTTTAGGGTTTTAATTATTTTATTTGTTTTGTATTTTATTAGTTTTTTCAATAAAATTT